AGGTAAAGGTTCCCTTGCTCGAAAGCCAGTCGAATCCGACTCTAGGGTTGCGGTGCTCATCTCCGTTTCAAAGCTGAAGAGCCAGCGCTGTCCAAAGACATTTCCGTGGTCATGTGGCCAGCGTGACTAAACACCAAGGCGCACGAAACGCTGTTACCTTCCCACCGAAGTGGTACCTATTTACCTACTTGCAATTTCTTGCTTTCGAACTGCTAGGTTGGCAGGAGCTGGAACTAGAGACGGGAGCTCACTCCGTCATGCGGCAACTCGGGTCTCCATAGCCTGCAGTTCAGCGTCTTAACTACTTGAGCCACCGCAGCTCCTTATCAGTAGGCTGACATTAAATTGTTCAGTAATTTGTCAGTTTTTGGTCAGTAAAATCAGTATTATTAATCCTCTGACTAGTTTCCACCCCTACAACCCCATTGGGAACCTCCTGGAGATTTGGGGTGGGGGAGTCTAATGGAAGGGAGTCTGCTCTCCAAAGTAGCCATTTCCTCCAGGGTGATGCTCTGTGTTCTTGGGGCTTGGAGGGCAACAGAGGGAGGGCTTCTGGAGTTCTGGCCCTGCTGGTGGACCCCCTGAGGGCAACTGGGCTTTAGCCTCTGTGTGACAGTGTTCGGCTGGATGGGCTTCTCTTATGTTTTAACCCAGTGTGCTGCAGTAGTGAAAAAAGGCAAACTCTTAAATTAGAGATGATTAGGAAAGGGATTGAGAATGAAACAGCTGATATTGTAATGCCCCTGTATAGATCTATGGGGTGGGCTCATTTGGAATAACGGCCACTGTGTGAGACAGGATACTGGACTAGATGGACCACTGGTCTGATCCAGTAGAGCTCTGCTTATGTTCTTAAAGCATGCTTGTATTTTGACTAAAAATAATATAGTTAATTGGGTTTGCCTGCGTCCTTTATAAAGTTTATATATGCATGGCCCAGCCCAACAAAGTGACATACTTCAGGTCCGGCCCTCATAACAAATGAGTTCGACGCCTCTGGTGTACACTAATCCTGCTGATTACAATGGAATATTGTCACTTTAAATTTTTCTTGATTGTGCCGTCAGCCTAAAAAGAACTGAATCCTGCAATTTTAAGAGCACTTTGTAGTAAATTTATTTTTAAATTAGTAGTGAATCATTCCAAGGAACTGTGTTTAGGACTGCACTGAAAGTGCTTTTTCAATATTGTGGGAAAAAATACAATTTTTTAAATATCCAAATATATAGAATTGGCGCTTAAAGTAAGAGTTCAGAATCCAAAAGAAAATGACTTTATTGAAATTGAACTGGACAAGAGCTGACTTACCTAGATCTACTCAGAGTGAGCTGTTGTGAACTGGGTGTTAATCCTGAACAAGTACAGAAGATCAGAAAGCTACCCAATATGCTGGTAAGAAAGGTAAGGATTAATGTTTTCCTTTAAGTAGTTGTTTACATGTTGACAGCTTCCCTTGGCAGAAATATACCCCTAGTCATCACAGAACACAGTCTGTTAGTTAACGCAATGTACAGGCAACAAATATCAGTTTTTGTTAAGACATATTGCAACACCCACCAAGTGCACTATCTTCAACCGCAGCTTGTTCTCTACAAAATGCCGCATTTGGTGTTTTTCTGTGAATATCAGCTACAAGGGGTCCCCAGCCTTTTTGAGCCTGCAGGTACCCTTGGAATTTTGACAATGCATGGTGGGTGCACACACAAAACAGCTGCCATAAAATGCCTGCCACATGAGTCAGAGCCAGCCACAGAATGGCTGCTGCAGCTTGCTTTCAGTCACAGTGAAGATCCTTGTGCTGTGGTGGCAGCTGCGGCCAAGGCACCATTTTAAAAACCTACACAACCAATCAAATCTCCAGTGGTTAATCATCAACTTTGCTGGGCATAGGCTCCACCTGGCACTCCTACTTTCTAAGAACAAGTGGCAGCACCATGAAAGGTGTTGGCGGGTGCCATGGTGCCTGTGGGCACCGCATTGGAGACCTGTTAGCTACCACTTGAGTCCAAATGAGAAATCTTTGTACATAACAGCAAGCTGCTTTTAATAAGAATGTCCCTTCAAACAGATGTTCAGCTTTTGGGGCTAGCGAGGGAAGATGAGAGGCCTCCTAAGTAGGGTTGCCAACTTTAAAACGGTCATTCTGTCTCTTTAGTATTCGTCTGATTGGCAAGCAATTATTAGGTGACATTATTTGACTGCATGCCATGAAAAGCTTCAGCTGTCAGTTTCCATTAATTAAACCTCTACTGATGCGACAGTACATATTGCTCCGTTCAGTTGGCAACATTACACCAAACATACCCATTCTCTAATTCTCAAACCTCCACAGGTTATGGGAAGGAAAATATGGAAGTGAATTCTGTCAAATGTAATTTCATCCATTGCTCTGATGCATTTTTGAAAAAGTATTGATGTTTGGGCCATCTGACTTGACTATTCCTGAATCTGAACATCCTTTGCTCCATCTCCAGCAAAACCTTGCACACCTGTTCATTTCTTTCCAACAGTTTCAGGTGGCAGCTAATCTCTCCCTCTCTGGTGGCTAGTTTGCCCTCCTCTTCTCTTCCAATTCCTAGGGCAAATTAGGTGCTTCAAGTGGAGATAAACAGGTCTCTGGAGAGGTGGCATATACATTTTCTAGGTAAATCTAGAAACAGATGGAAGACAGTAGCTCTTCCTACTCCTTATGTGTCACTGTAGCCCCCTTTGGCTTCCTCTAAAAATGGGGCCTTCAAAATTAGAACTGCCAAGAGGCCTGGAGAAAAATGTCATATTCCTTTAAAAGGTAAAGGTTCCCTTGCTCGAAAGCCAGTCGAATCCGACTCTAGGGTTGCGATGCTCATCTCCGTTTCAAAGCCGAAGAGCCAGCGCTGTCCGAAGACATTTCCGTGGTCATGTGGCCAGCATGACTAAACACCAAGGCGCACGGAACGCTGTTACCTCCCCACCGAAGTGGTACCTATTTATCTACTTGCAATTTCTTGCTTTCGAACTGCTAGGTTGGTAGGAGCTGGAACTAGAGACATGAGCTCACCCCGTCTTGCGGCACCCAGGTCTTGAACTGCTGAACTACTGACCTTCCACAGCCTGCACTTCAGCGTCTTAACCACTTGAGCCACCACAGCTCCTATTCCTTTAGTAGAGAGGATTTGTGTAGAAATGGGCAGCTGGAGTTTTTCATGGCATGGAGGTAAATATTACCTGGTAAGTAAAACCTAACAAAGCTGTAAAGGAAGGCAGTATTTTCTCCAAGCCTGTTGGCAACCCTAATGACTGCAGATTTACCACTCTAATCTATAGTCAGAGGTAAATTTAGATATTTTCCAGCACACAGTCACCTGGAACAGCTTCGTATATAGAATATGTTATTTCATAACCAAACCACTTAACTTTAAGGTACTAAGTTCTTCACTGCATTCTTGTGGGCTGGCAGAATTGACAGTCTCACTTGATATACTATTTGTTGTCAGAATTCAAATTGATACTTTACCCTCATACAATAAATGAAATACTATTTTTCTCCTTATTCTAGGATCGAGATGTTGCCAGGCTTCAGGATTTTCAAGAACTGGAGTTCGTTTTGGAGGAAAGTATCAACCCTTCTTCTAGAAGTGTTGCAACAACACTGACAGAAAGGCCTTGCTAGAGCACTAAAGCAGCAAACTTGACATATTGATGTTTCAAGGATTTATGGCCACAGAGCTATATATTTACACAGTGATTTTCAGAAAAAATTGATGAAATATTTATCAAACAACAGTTCTTGAGGTTATAGATCTTTCAAATAGATAACATTCCTTTATATCTTGATATTTTCAACTAAGATGCATATATCTTAGAAGTTATTTGTTCTCTCAGTTAACTAATGACTGGTTAAGCAGTGTAATCTGTTTAATATACTGAATTCAGGCTAAACTAGCCATAGCTCTTTTGTTGTAGCAGTGGTAGATCACCTTTTTAATAACTGCAGTACTAAGGATCTTCTCAGGGTTGACCATAAGCTAGAAAACGTGAAGAAGAGAAAGCATATCTCAGGAGACATTTCTTGAGTAGTTTCTCTCCCCTATGGTTTCAGCCCAAGAATTTATATTCAAAAAGCTGAAAGAACGTCTGTTTTAGATTTTCTATCCCCAACCCCACCATCCCCAAACTAAACTGGATACCAGTTTAAAGGAAAATCTCATATTAACTACTTCCACAATAAATGGTGATTTTTCCATTCCA